AACTCTATAGCAAACTGTCTACTGTAACTGTCCACAGTGCCGCAGATAGGCTCCATGATCTTCAGTAAGCATTCTGGGGACAGTGAACTGTGGTTAAGATCAGGGTGGACACATGCTGGACACCTGAAGAAGAGAAGCCCCAACCATGATTCCCACCATCCGCGAGTTCCTTCAAAATTTACAAGCCCCATGGGGACAAAAGAGCCGCATCTTCACGCCCAAGTGATCACGCATTTTCAGTAGAACCCTGTCCTGCAGATCCTAGGGGCCCTGGTTCTCCCAGCCCTCAATGAGGGAAGGGCAACAGAGGGTGTGTCCCTAGCAGAGAAGAGTGACCCTGGCAGCCCCTAACAGCAAGTTTGCTCGTATTTCCTCCCTGGGGTGTACAGGGGTGGGGTGGGGGAGTGTCGTTCTGGGGACGCTTCCCGCACTCATCCCTTCAAACGCACTGCTTGGGCGAGAGGGAGAACGAGACCATCCAGGGCTGGGCTGGGTTCTAGGAGAGAACCAAAAAGAGCTCCCAAATCCCAGGAGGGTGCTGTGGTTCCTCGGAGGCTTTCCCAGACCCAGACCCAGACCCAGACCCTGCGCTCCCTGCAACTGCCTCCCCTCCCCTTAGCAGTCGACCTCGCTGTGGGCTTCCTCCTGGACTCTGTCATCCCTCAGCCCCGCACCTCCACCATGCGCCCGCAGCGCGATCTCCAGAGGGGCCCTCGCCTAGCACTCCTTGGAGCCCCAGAAGATTCCTTCCTCTCCGCTCTCCGTGCCTTAGGGTTTCCCAAGCCTGTCTCCTCTTTCGCCTCGCTGCAGCCCAAGAGGCAGGATTCTCCCATTTCTCAGATTTGACAGGCGACAAGTCGTCCCGGGGCAGGGAGGGGGGAGGTAAGTGAGGAAGCCAAGGTCACCCAGTAAGTGGCGGAACGCAGCCTCGCCCCAGCCCTTCATCTGCCGGCCTGGTGGAGGCCCAGCATCTGCTGGCAGGGCGGGCCCAGGCTGCCGACCCGCGCCCCTCTCCTTGGCGGGTCCCCAGGGCTGGGCCAGCGGGA